TTAGGACATGTCCTGTATACTCCACCAATCTCATATTTCCAGCATCGAATCCTTTCTTCTGCATACTAGCTTTACCTTCCATTGCACTCCAGTTCTCTTCTTGTTCCCCTTCTGTTTTTAGGAACCATGTCACTTAACTCCTTATTCCTCAGTTCACTACCTTTCCTTCTTGCCTTTTACACCATGTACTTGCCTCAAGGCTCCTCCCTGAAAGAATTATCATTCTATATCCACTTCCTATTTCTCCTACCTCTTTCTCCTTCTCACTGTTTTCAGCCTCTCTTGATATTCCCCTTCTTTCTTTGTCTTATTCAACTTGCTTACTCTCAGTACCTCTCTTCCTTATCAATGCATTTCCACTCCTGCTCACCTTTTTGTCATTCTTAAACCACTTTCCATTAGGTAATGATTTGATATCCTCCTCACTCTCCTCAATTTTCTGATATTCCTCCATCCTCTCCCCACAGCAAACTTGCATCAACTGATAACCTTTTCTTCTAACATTCTTGCTATGAATGCATAACCCTTGATAGCTCTCCCAACACAGAAAGCACATTCAGATTCATTTTTTCCCCAATTATTATGATCAGTATCATAATTATCATTATTAGTATTATTATTGTTGTTATTATTATTCCTGTCATCCTTATCATGGATGCCTCTTCACAGATGTGGAGGACCTGCAGAGAGAGAGACAGATACTATGGACACGTTTGTTGATTCCTCATGGTACTTCTTGAGGTTCCTGGATCCTCACAATACAGAGAAACCCTTTAGTCACGATGCCCAAAGAGATAACATGCCTGTTGATTTGTACGTCGGTGGGAAAGAGCATGGTAAGCAATAAAGACATTTATTTTTTGTTATTTATACTTAGTAAACAAACAAAATGTGAGTATGGAAGTTGTTGAAGGGTCTATGAAATAGGTTGTAGGTTGAAGGTTTTCAGGAATAGAATAAAGGCAGATATATATATATATATATATATATATATATATATATATATATATATATATATATATATATATATATATATATATATATATATATATATATATATATATATATATATATAAGGTTTATTAAGCATTGTCTCCTTTATTTTTACCCCCACCCCCTCTTAGGAAATTAAAGATAAATCATGGGTATTAATGAAAAAGAAAAACATAAATAATGAATGACAATTGAAAAAAAGAATCCCAGGAGTATTGCAACTTATGCAGTCACAAATTCAAGCAAATTTATATCAATAACAAATAACTAAAAAGATAATTTCACTTCCCCAGCTGTGTTGCACATGTTCTACGCACGTTTCATACAGCACTTCTTAGCGAGCCTGGGATTGGCGAGCCACAAGGAACCCTTCAAAAGACTGGTCACCCAGGGCATGGTCATGGGTGAGACCTATAGGGTAAAGGACTCAGGCAGGTACCTCACCAAGGACGAAGTGGATTTCTCTGGTTAGTGTTTTGTCATGTATTACCAGACATTTATGTTTTATATGTGTGTGTTTTTGTCATTTTTCTCTCGTCTCCAATATTGTATTTCAGTGAAAAGGTTGTGTACCAAATAAATGATAGTATTATCATTCTTTCAACATTTTTTCTTTGTCTTCTTCCTCTCCTTTTTCTTCCTTTTAAGAAAATAAGAATAGAATTTTTAATTTGTCACTGAGGTATATAACAGAACTGTTGATTGTATGACGAAAATCCATTATTGGTTTTTGTGTTATGGTTATAATCTTTGGTTTTGAAAGCATTTATAAAATTATGAAGTACCTTAGATTATGACAAGTTTATCCTTCATGTATAGTTTATAGTTTCTACATATAGTTTTTGTTGTTGCTGATGTTACTGTTGTAAATGGAAGGTACCAATGTTTGTGAGAATAGCTTGAATTGACCATTACTTATGTTAGTCACAAACATACAGTGATTTTCTCTGTCATTCAAAAAAAAAGTAGATGCTTGCTCTAAGACATTACTTCTGACATGCCAGCTACTTCTTGTATTTCTTTATATATTAAGACTATATATGAAGGTACTTGGATCCAAAGGTGGTTTGGCACCACATTTAATCCATTGATGCTGAGTGTAATTTTTGTTATTGTTATTTTTGTTATTGATATTGTTATTATTATTTTTATTATTATTACAAAAAGATGGCAAGTCAGATAGGCATGTACATTCCCTTACTCATATTGGAAACATTTTCCCATTTGCAGTCAAGCCTCCTGTGGAACGTGGAACGGGAAGCGAACTCGTTGTGACGTATGAGAAGATGAGCAAAAGCAAGCACAACGGAATTGACCCAAAGGTAATTCCAAGAGGAGATAAATGGGAGGGAATGGGAGCAGGTGCAAGAGGAGGAATCTGAGTGGATAGAATGCATTCTTTAGATTGTATGTGAAATATAGTGAATAGATGAGATGGAAATAGGGATATAAGCAGAGTATCACTGTTTTCATCTATTTTTGTGTGTCTGTCTGCATCTTTATTTATGTCTATATGTTTCAGTTTCTGTCTAGATTGAGTGTAGGCTGCTAAAACTATAGATAAATAACCCATCATGGTTAAGTTGAGTTTCAAATAGGATTATATAAAAAGATCCAATCAACTTCACATATTTTTTCAGGATGTGTTGGAAGAATATGGCACTGACACCACTAGGCTGTTGATGTTGGCAAACTTTGCTCCATCGTCTCAGAGGAACTGGTCCAAAGATAGTGAGTCTTACTGTTTTATGAGTCCATATAATTGATTTTGTCTTGGTGATTATTTGTCTTCTTATTCTTACTATCATTATTATTCTCCTCCTCCTCCTCCAGAGATGCATATACAGAGTATTAGATAAAGATAAGCAGGAATGAATAGATAAGTGAGTGGGCACATGAGTCATCCAAGTATTATGAAGAATTTTGATTTTTTCTCTTTTTACACACTGAAAGAACAGTAGCCATTGAACAGAAAACGAAAATCAGAAAGCCAACATTCTTAGCAATGTAGTTTTTTCTTTTCTTTGTTCCATTTTCATTTGCATTTGATAACAGACTTCCCGATTTTGCAGCATTCCCGGGTATTCTGAACTGGCAGAACCGCCTTTGGCTCACAGTCTCAGAATTCATCCACATGCGGCAGGATAAGGAACTTCAGGCAGATGCTCCTTTGAGGTGAGGGCTGTAGCTTGTACTTAAATGTTATAATGAATATTATAGTGCTGATGGGCACTGTAGTGTACTTGCAGATTAGATGTATAGGAGTGAAATAAGATAATGATGAAAATGTTGAAAAAATAAGTAAAAGAAAAAACAGTTATCGTTACATAGTTTACATTGTGAGCAACCTTCACACAAAAATGAACATTCTACCGAATGGAGAAACAATTATGACAATAAAGGAGAAAAAAGTCACAAGGAATATAAGAAGTGAAGAAAATATAGATGAGGAAAAGTAAATGATCAGGAGGAAGGATTTTACTACTTATTAATGTTAGATTTAAAGATTCACATAAAATGAATAACGTTGAATGGTAGTCACATAATGTTGGGGAGAAAAGCAACAAAGAAATCAGGATTTTCATTATGTCAAAACAAAATAGGATTAAGATTTTTGCAAAATAATAAAATTAGACATTACTGGTGTCAATAATAAAGACAGTGATGATAAGGATAATGATTATAAAAGTAATTATATTGATAGTATTAGAAAAAAGATAGAAAATTCAAGGAATGGGGGATATTATGTGGGGTCAGATAGTCCTGCTTATTAGGTCCTTGGTGACTAAGTGCTTGTGGATCCATCTATGTGTAAACAAAATTCACAAAGCAAAATTATATTGGATTGTGCATATACCTAGCACCAGTAGGTTAATGATCATAGGTACTGCAAATGCAGAAATAGACAAGGGACACAGATTGTTATTATTACAGATAAGGCAAGGAAACTCGCTGGGGAAAATGTGCTTAGAATGGTATATAAAGCAGGCAGATCAAGTTATTTTAAATGCATGATTCAAACAACATTCTAGAAGACTAGGGACATGGAAATGCTTCTGGGAATTAACAGAATGCCAGATCAATGCACTTCTGACCAACTGCCTTCCCAATTGTGTCACGTAAAAACGTTTTTGTCAAAATTGATACAAAGACAGATTCAAAAGTAAATAAAAACAGCACTAAGTAATGAAAAATTACTTTGAAGGATTACACAGCATGCAAATAAAATGTATAGTTAAACTGGTGTATGTATGGTGCCATGAATGCCATGCCCTTAAAGCAGATCTTTAGATAGATGCAGATGATGGAAGATATCTTAAATAATGTGGAGGAAAATATCATGAAATTGGTAAAGAAATTAGAAGTAAATGTGAAATGCCTTGATACTTTCTGTAATGAAATGTGATTTGATTGAAAGATTGACCGGAGGATATTTTCTGGCAATAAATAAAAGAGATGAATTGATGATTAAGATAAAAGGAAATAGCTGGCAAAGAAAGTACATGTTACTCAGAGAAATGTCTAAAACTATTTTAAAAACAAATCAGTATCAGATTGAAAATATTAGTGTTCAAGTAGTATTGAAAGAGTCCATAAAATTGCCGATAACTTTTAAAATTGAATACCTCATCCATCTTTTCCTCTCTTTCTGTTATCTTTTGATATTTATCAAAAAAAATTTGTAAGGAAAAACAAAGTTTCTAAAAATTTTGATTCACCTAAAAATATGCTTACTGGGGGCTGTTACAGTGTTACTTTTAAATTCAATTATTTAAGCAACTTGGGTAGTTTTTTAAATTATCTTTATTTCATTTTGTATGCCAGCATGGAGGAGATGCAGGAGCACAAGGACTTCCTTTTCGAAAATCGGAACTTCTACCTGAGAGGAGCAACGTACAATTTCTTATATACGAACCAGCTGAGTGTCGCCATCTCTTATATGCAGGGACTAACTGTAAGCTTGAGGGTAAGTTGTGCTTTGTATCTTGTAAGTGATGTAAGATTGGGTCATGCTTCTCGCTCTGTTGATTTTTTCTTTCTTTCTTTCTTTCTTTCTTTCTTTCTTTCTTTCTTTCTTTCTTTCTTTCTTTCTTTCTTTCTTTCTTTTTTTCTTCTTTTCTTCTTCTTTTTCTTTTTTTTCTTTTTTTTTTTTTTAAGGGGAGAGAGAAAAATTTGAAGAAGTTCATATGCTTTTTGAATTGTTCTTGAGGAGCTGTCAAATGAATTTTATTTCTTTATTTTTTTCTTTATTTATTTCTTTGCTTTATCTTCATCCTTTCCTACTCCTACTCTCTCTCCTCCTCATCCCCATCCTCCTTCTCCTTTGTCTTCCTCTGTCTTATGCTCCTCCTCCTCCTGCTTCCTCCTCCTCCTCCTCCTCCTCCTCCTCCTCCTCCTCCTCCTCCTCCTCCTCCTCCTCCTCCTTCCACTTTCTCCTCCTCCTTCCACCCATCCATCTCCCTTTTCCCTTCTTTTTCCTCCTTCTCCTTCCCCCTCCTCTTCTATTTTTCCTCCTTCCCTCCTTCCCCTTCCCCCTTTTTTTTCCTTCTCCTCCTCCTCACCCTCCCCACCTACCTTCTTTCTTTCCTGTTATGATTCCTCTAAGCTTCCCTTTTGTATCCTTTCAGAAAATACCAAAAGAAATGATGCTGACGGAGGAATTTGAAAAATCATTAGCTGCGCAGATTATAATGCTGTCACCCATAACCCCTCACTTAGCTAGCGAATTGTGGGCGGGTTTCTGCAGCGTTGCAACCTCTCCATGCACAAGGAAGGTAGGAAGGTCTATTTCTCGTAGAGCAGTAATGCATGGTCACATCTTTCCCTGATATATACATGTAATATTTAGTGATGTGTGCTTTAGTATAAAGGAGTGTTTTTTTGTTTTTTTTTCTCAGTAATTGATGAAACTTCCGGTTGAAGATTCAAACAGAATATTAGATATATTTTTCCCTTTTATAGATACACTCTTCTGTGACATCTTACGTATAACAATAAGAATAACCTTCCTCAATGATATATTCGTTTGCAAGAAAGTTTTTTGAAAGTGAAAAGCCTCCACTTCAATTTAGCATTTGGAAACCATCTTCTTTTTAATTAGGTATATGAAAATTCTTCATGATGTTTTGAATTTCAGGATGTACCCTTATTGGAGCAACGGTGGCCGGAGATCGACTCGGAATTCGGATTGCCTCTCTTCTGTAGGGTAGGTCATGCGACAGCTTTATTTGGCATCTCATATGACTGGGTTTATTTGTTTATCTTTTTTTATCTTTTAGTCTCCCTCGAAAAGTAAGAAATAAGAACATAAGGTGAATATAATCTCTTTATTCTCCTGTGTTTTTGTTTTCTTCCTGGTATTCCATCTCCCTCTCATCTTCCACCATCACTGCTCTCTTCTCTTATCTCCTTTCTCCTCTTTTTCATCCTCTTCCTCATATCAAAATTGCCCTTTCTTCCTTTCCATCATGTTCATCTCTTTTTCTTTGTCTCACTCTCCTCCTCCCTCCTCTCCCTCCTCCTACCTCCTTACCCCCTCCTTCTTTGTCATCTTTTTCTCCTTCTTCCTCATCTCCCTTTCCCCCTCCTGTTCCTCTTCTCCCTCCTTGTCCTTCTTTTCCTCCTCCTCTTTTCTCTTCTCTTCTTCTCCTCTTTCACTTCCTTTCCCACTTGCTGCTGCTCCTCCTCCTCTCCTCCTCCTCCTCCTCCTCCTCCTCCTCCTCCTCCTCCCCTCCTCCTCCTCTCTTCCTCTTTTCCTTCTCCTCCTCTTCCCCTCCTCTGCTTCCTTTCTCTTCCTCCTCCTCCTCCTCCTCCTCCTCCTCCTCCTCCTCCTCCTCCTCTTCCTCCACTTCCTTCTCCTCCTCTTCCTTCTCCTATTCCTCTTACTCCTCCTCCTCCTCCACTTCCTCTTCCTTTACCACCTGCTCCTCTTCCTCCTCCTATGCCTACTCCTACCTCACCTCATCCTCATCCTTCTTCTTATCCCTCTCTTTTTTTCTCTCTTTCTCCTTCACCTCCTGTCTCTCCTTTTTTTTCTCTTCCTCATTTCTATCTTTCTGTTCATCCATCTCCTGATCTTAATCCAATTCCACCTCATCTTCAAACACATTATCTCCATCTTCACTCATCTTAAACCCTTCCCAAATTTTCTTCTGTTTCCCTCAATCTCCTTTTCTTTGTCCTCCACTTCTTTGTTCTTTGCCTCCCCCTCCTTTTCCCACTCATTTTCCTTCTCATCATCTTCCTCCTCTTGATCCTCCACTTTCTCCCCCTCCTTCTCCCTCTCTTTTTCCTTCTCATCTTTCTTTTCCTGTTTCTTCTTTTCCTCATTCTTATCCATTTCCACCTCATCTCCTAACCATTTAACCCTCTTTCTCCTCCATCTTCACCTGACATAACACCTTCCCAAACATTCTTTTATTTCCACTGTGCATGCTTCTTCTTGTATTCCTCCTCCTCCACCTCATTTTCTCTGCCTTCCACATCTTCCTATACTTCATTTTCTTTGTCCTCCACTTCTTCTCCTTCTCCTCCTTCTCCTTCTCTTTCTCCTTCTCCTTTACCCCCTGCTCTTCCCCCTTTCTCCTCTTTTTCCTACTCTTTCTCCTTCTAATCTCTTTTATCCATTTCCACTTCATCTCCTAACCTTTACCGCCTTCATCTTCACTTGACCTAACCCTTTCCCAGATCCCAGGGAAGGATCCCTGCATCGTCAAAGTGCCCCGCAGCATCTTGGACAGTATGACCGTTGACACAGCCACAGCCCATGCTCTGGCCAACGAGGAGGTCCAGAATTGCATGGTTGGGAAGCAGTTGATCAGGACGCACCTACAGATCCAGCCTGGCATCGGGGGGAACTTATCCTTCGTGGCCAAGGCATTGGACCCAGCAAGCAGCAAGGAGGAGAGGAAGAGGCTGAAGGAAGAGAAGAAGAGATTGAAGAAAGAGAGGAAGAACAAGAAGAGTAATATGCAAGGCTTGTAGGTTTTTGTGACTTAGGTGTGATGTCCTCAGGGGACTGTCAGTCTCAGCATCAAAGTTTGTCATGCTCAGTGATTTTGTTATATGAGTATAGAGTGAGATGTGTATATATACTGGAGGTATTCAGTGTACAGAATTGTTCAATTTCACAGAATTTGCTAAACTTCCACTGTATAAAAGGTAGAGAAAATGTACAAATGGTTGTAAGTATTTATAAAATCACAATAAAGTTTGTTTTGTCTGTAAATAAAGAAGCTGTATTTATTGTTGTAATTTATGTACATTAACCCATATAATAAATCTGATATTGTTATATATGTCAGAGTTTTTTATTAAATATTTTGAATTTTTATTTGTACCTTCAGCTTTTATATTTTGAAATTTTGTATTATAATCTCTCTCTCTCTCTCTCTCTCTCTCTCCTCTCTCTCTCTCTCTCTCTCTCTCTCTTCTCTCTCTCTCTCTCTCTCTCTCTCTCTCTCTCTCTCTCTCTCTCTCTCTCTCTCTCTCTCTCTCTCTCTCTCTCTTTCTCTCTTCTCTCTCTCCTCTCTCTCTCTTCCTCTCTCTCTCTCTCTCTCTCCTCTCTCTCTCTCTCTCTCTCTCTCTCTCTCTCTCTCTCTCTCTCTCTCTCTCTCTCCTCCTCTCTCTCTCTCTCTCTCTCTCTCTCTCTCTCCTCTCTCTCTCTTCTCTCTCTCTCTCTCTCTCTCTCTCTCTCTCTCTCTCTCTCTCTCTCTCTCTCTCTCTCTTCTCTCTCTCTCTCTCTCTCTCTCTCTCTCTCTCTCTCTCTCTCTCTCTCTCTCTCTCTCTCTCTCTCTCTCTCTCTCATATTTGGGGCTAGTATCTTTTTTTTATTCTTGTTAGAAAATTCACATACAAATTTGCAAAATACAGTACATTTATTTTGGAAATAATTATTATATTCTCTCTCTTATTTATTAGGAGATTTTAAACACTTAAACTGCCAAGAAGCAAGAATAACTACTAACAATACTTTTTAACATACCAACAGGTCTCTTGCTTTCTTAATAACCATTAAGTCATGTTTGGCACTTTACTAAAAACTCCTCTAAAGTCAAGATACAAGTGATGTTACATGAAGCTAGGATAATGGGCATAGTGTCCTTATGGTTGAGGACAATAAGTTTCATTTGCCTTTTTTGATACTGAGTATGATGGGGAAAAAAACATTAGGTTTTGGTCCTTTGTTGGAGTAATGAGATTATCTGCCATTGTAGTGTATGAAGTGTATGAATGTTACCTCATAGGTTTTTTGAGATAGAGAGGGCCTCTGACAAGGAAAATGACAGTCAGTTTCCCATGCTAATCTATAGTCTTAATAGTGGTAGGATATTCTGTAGATTTATGAGCCCTTATTCTTTAAAGAACTTTTCCTTGTATTAGAGATCCTCAACCAGGGGGAAAATATTGATATAGTGAGCTGATGTAATGGACATTGCCTGTTAGTATCTGCAGTGTAACTTAAAGATGGGTGCACTAGTAAACTGGTTGTCTCAGAGAATCAGTAGTCATTGTCTATTTTTTGACAAAATAGACAATGGCGATTTCATTGAAGCTATTTTATGTAATACCCTGATAATGAAAGTTAACTTGGATTTTATATGCCTTTCTGTCAGCTTATTTTCTATCTTTCATTCTTTATCATGGGATTAAGGACACTTCCAACTTAGAAGGTAAATGACAGATAGGTTGAGAATTCTGGTCTGTATTTTTTTCCTACTCTCTCTCTCGTCTCATCCTCCCTCTCTCGTCTCTCTCTTCTCTCTCTCTCTCTCTCTCTCTCTCTCTCTCTCTCTCTCTCTCTCTCTCTCTCTCTCTCCTTCTCTCTCTCTCTCTCTCTCTTCCCTTGCTCTCCTCACTTGCACTCTCTCCTCTTTCTCTTTCTTTTCTCTCTCTCTTTTCTCTTCCTCTTTTCTTCATCTCTCTCTCTCTCTTCCTCTCTCTCTCTCTCTCTCCTCTCTCTCTCTCTCTCTTCTCTCTCTTCTCTTCTCTCTTCTCTCTTTCTCTCTCTCCTCTCTCTCTCTCTCTTTCTCCTCTCTTCCTTCTTCTCTCACTCACTCACTCAACCTCATTCACTCATCCACTCACTCACTCCACCCACTCACTCACCTCACTACTTCACTCACTCACTCCACTCACTCACTCACTCACTCACTCACTCACTCACTCACTCACTCACTCTCTCTCCTCTCTCTCTTTCTCTCTCTTCTTCTCTCTTCTCTTTCTCTCTCTCTCTCTTCCTCCTCTCTCTCTCTCTCCTTTCTCTTCTCTCTCTTTCGCTCGTTTTTCCTTTTTCGTTGCTCCTTCTTCCTTTCCTTCTCTCGGCCGCTCTCTCTTTCTCTTCTGTTTTCTCTTTCTCTCTTCTCTTTCTCTCTTCTCTTTTCTCTCTCTTCTTTCTCTCTCTCTCTCTCTTCTCTCTCCTCTCTCTCCTCTCCTCTCTCTCTCTCTCTCCTCTTTCTCTCTCTCTCTTCTCTCTCTCTTCCACTACTCACTTCACTCACTCACTCACTCACTTATTTTTCACTTCAATCCACTCCACCTCACTCGCTCACTCACTCACCTCACTTCACTCACTCACTTTCACTACTCACTCCACTCTCTCTCTCTCTCTCTCTCTCTCTCTCTCTCTCTTCTCTCTCTCTCTCTTCTGTCTCTTCCTCTCTCCTCTCTCCTCTCTTCTCTTACTCTCTCTCTCTCTCGTCTCCCCCTTCCTGCCTCCCCTTCCTCTCTTCTCCCTCTCTCCCCTCCCCTCCCTCCCCTCCCTCCTCCTCCCTCCCTCCCTCCCTCCCCTCTTCTCTCTCTCTCTCTCTCTCTCTCTCTCTCCTCTCTTTCTTCTCTTTCTCTCTTTCTCNCCCTCTCTCCCGTTTCCCTCTCTCTTCATCTCATTCTCTCTGTTTCCTTCGCTTTCTCTCTTTCTCTCTTTTCTCTCTTCTGTTTCTTTTCTCTCTCTCTCTCTCTCTTTCTCCTTTCTCTTTTTCTCTCTCCTCTCTCTCTCTCTCTCCGCTCTTCTCCTCTTCCTCTCTCTCTCCCTCTCTCTCTCTCTCCCTTTCTCTTTTTTTTCCTCCCTCTCGCCTTCTCCTTTTTTCGTTTGTGTTTCTTTTCTTTTCTTCTTTTATTTTCTCCGCCGCTCTCCCTCTCCCTCTCCCTCCCTCCCTCCCTCCCTCCCGCGTACCTTCCTTCCTCCTTCCTTCCCTCCCTTCCACTCCTCCCTTTCCCCTCTGCCTCCTGTTCCGCTCCCCCTTTCCCTCGCCTTCCCTCCTCCTTCGCTTCGGCCTCTTTCCTCCTCCGCCAGTCCCTCCCTTCCTCCCTTCCTTTCCTCTCCCTCCCTCCCTCCCCTCCTCGTCGGCTTCCTCCCCTCCGCCATCTCCCTTCTCCCTCTCCCCTCTCCCTCCCTCCTTCCCTCCCTCCCTCCCTCCCTCCCTCCCTACCCATCCTCCCTCCCCTCCCTCATTTCCTCCCTCCCCTCCCTTCCTCCATTCTCTCGTCCTCTCCTCCTACCTCCTCTCTTACTCTCTTCCTTCGTATAACACACATCACCCCACCCCGTCTTTAACAAATGCTAGATCACCTCCCTACCCTCCCTCCCTCCCTCCTTCCCCTCCCTCCTTCCCTCCTTCTTTCCCTCCCCATTCTCCCGTCCTCCTCCTCCTACCCTCTTCTTACTCTCCCTTCGTATAACACATCACCCACATGTCTTTAACAATGCTAGATCACCTCCCCCCTCCCTCCCCTCCTTCCCTCCCCCTCCCTCCCTCCCTCCTCCCTCCCACCCTTCCTCCTTCCCTCCCCCTCCCTCCCTCCCTCCCTTCCTCCATCCCCTCCGATCTTCTCGTCCTCTCCTCCTACCCTCTCTTACTCTCCCGTCGTCTAAACACACATCACTCCAACACTTGTCACACCAATGCTAGAACACCCCCTCCCTCACCCCTCCCCCCTCCCCCTCCTCCCCCCCCTCCTGCTTCTTTCCCTCCTCCATTCTCCGCGTCCTCTCCTCCTACCCTCTCTTACTCTCCCCTTCGTATAAACACACATCACTCCAATGTCTTTAACAAATTCTAAAAATCACCCTCCCCTCCTTCCCTGCCCTTTCCCCCTTCCCTCCTTCCCTCCTTCCCTCCTTCCCTCCTTACCTCCTCCTTCCCTCCCTCCTCATCCCTCCATTCTCTCTCCTCTCCCTCCCCTACCCTCTCTTACTCTCCCTTCATACAATACACATCACCCCAATGTCTTTAACAAATGCTAGATCACTCCCTCCCTCCCTCCCTCCCTCCTTCCCTCCCCTCCCTCCCTCCCTCCCTCCCTCCCTCCCCTCCCTGCCCCTCCCTCCCTCCCTCCCTCCCTTCCCTCCATTCTCTCGTTTCCTCTCCTCCCTACCCTCTCTTACTCTCCCTTCGTATACCACAACGTCACCCCAAAAGTCTTTAACAAATGCCTAGATCACATTATATAAACCTTTTCTCTGTTCCAGGTACGGGTGAACTCTGCTCCACACTAAATACAAGGTAAGTTATCTTCTCTGAGATCATGGCGGTGCGTTTTCATTCTGTCGAGAGGTGTCAGTCAATCAGAGTGTCATACTGTCAAGGTGTCGTGTCTGTCATGCGGTCTGTCAAATGCGCGGATGCTGGCATCCCTTTTTGTCATCCTTTTGTCTCTCCCATCTTTCTCTCTCCCATTCTTTCTCTCTCTCTGTTCTCCTTTAACTACTCCTTCTTAATTTTTTCTATTCTTTTCCTCTTTCTCCTTCTCTTTCTTTCTCTTTTTCTTCTTCTCTCCTTCTTCTTCTTCTCCTTTTCCTTCTCTCTCTCCTTCGTCTCTCTCCTTCTTCTTCTTCTTCCTTCTCTTCTCTTTCTCCTTCTCTTTCTTACTTCTCCTCCCTCACTCCTATCTCTCCTCCTCTCCTTCTCCTTCCCCTCTCTCCTATCTCTCCTCCTCTCCTTCTCCTTCCCCTCTCTCCTTTCTCTCCTCCTCTCTCTCTCCTTCCCCTCTCACCTTTCTCCCTTCTACTCCCTCTCCATCCCCTCTCTCCTTTCTCTCCTCCTCTCCATCTCCTTTGATCTCCCTTTTATTCAGGGAGTCTTATCAGCTCCTCGCCATAATGAGCTGTATTACCTTTTTGCCTATCAAATTTGTGGTAATTGACGAGTCTCTTTATATTCAAATTTCCCGCGCAGTTTTAACGGTTTCCTGTCGAATTTCGTGAGGACAGGGTGGAGGGGGGGGGTTAGGAGGAGGGGGGTAGGTAGAGGTTCCCGTTTTTCTTGGTGTTCGTTTTTCTTGTTTGTT